GGGGGGATGGCCACGCTGCAATCCCATCTTCTCCATTCTCTTCTCGGGATCTTGGGCATGCACATACGTGCGCCTGGTGTGAGTTTAAGCCACTGGGTCCGGGACTCAAACCGTGGTCAACTACATGGGAGTCCAGCGAATAGCCATTACGCTAACTGCTGGTCCCAGGATGGCACCCTAAGCCCGGCTCTGCATTCCCGCCGCCTGTACGCACGTGGTGGCGGGCTCAGGGAGCCTGGGCGTGTGTGGGGTGCACTGAGATGGGGCGCTCACTGAATGTCTTGGAGACCATTGCCAGGCAGCGTGGGACGCTGGGAGAACGAGCTGAGGGCGACACTGACCATGCGGCTGGGCCAGTGAGCCTGGTGGGGCCGGGGGAGGGACACAGTCACACCACCACGGTTGGCAGCAGCTCAGCCTTTCCCAGGCCACAGAGTGGGTGGCTGAAGACAAGGGACAATCAACTGCTATCCCCCCAAGGGCCGAGGAGACGGGACCATAGAGGCGACAGAATAAAACGTGACGTGTCTTGGTGAGGGACCCAGCGGGCCGACTGAGGGTTATTTTGGAGGAACGATGACTCCTTTAAGGGGAGAGCACTACACAGTGATCGGAGCTCTCCGAGGTCTTCGCAGAGCAGAGACTTGAACATGAACACACTTTCTTCCCACGTAGCCAGGAATGTCGCTCCACGAGTCGGGTTGGAATGAAAGGGAAGATGGACAGACGCCACAAGGATGGGACTGCTGCTTATGTAGGTTGCCGGTTCTAGAATCCCCCTCAGGAATACGGGCTTGTGTGTAACCAGCACATGGCATAACGGTTACATCGCTGGACTCACGTGCAGTGACTGTGGTTTGAGTCCTGGACCCGGCTTAAAACTCAAGCCGGGTGCGTGTCACCGGCGAGTGTACATGCCCTATAGCAAAACAATCTCTCTTTTTCTCTAAAAAAAAAAGAAATACGGGCTTACTTCTCCACTGTTGTGGTATGCCTGTCTGTCCCTCCTCAAAGAGATGTTACACATGTCTGAGTGAATTTTTTTTTTTTTTTTTGGAGAGGTTTTTTTGCTACAGGGTGTGTGCGCTCACCAGAAAGACAGAGATAGAAAGCGAGAAATCACCCCCCAGGGAGGATGGCCACACCATAATCCCTTCTCTTCCATTCTCCTCTTGGGATCTTGGGCACGCAGGTACCCGTGCCCGGCATGAGTTTAAGCCACCAAGTCTGGGACTGGAACCATGGTCAACTACATGGGAGTCCAGTGCCATAGCCATTACGCCAACTGCTGGTCCTAGTCTCAGTGAATTTTGGATAGCTAATGTGACTCTATCGTTTTGACTAATTCTTTTTAAAAAATTATTTATTTATTATTATTATTTTAAAATTTGATGTAAGGCATGTGCACCTACCAACCTACCAGAAAGAAACTGATAGAGAGAGAGAAAGCAAGAAAGCAAGCTGCCAGGTGTGGGACTTGAACTACAGTAGGCCATGTGGGAGTCCAGTGCCTTAACCACTTGCCAGCCCCATTTTGGCTAATTCCTGTCTACATGTAGATTATTCACCTGTGAACAACGTACTAATACTTTTCCTCTTATTTGCCAGATGGCACGTGGACTCACCAGAGAGAGGAAAGAGATGGAGAGAGGGAAAGCAAGAAAGCACTTCTATAGGGATGACCATGCTGCAACCCCTTCTCCTCCATCTCCCCCTCCTGTTGGGATTTTGGGCATACACACACATGTTCTTAATGTGTTTCTCAAGCTGCCAGGTCTGGGACTTGAACCATGCAGTTTGCCATGTGGAATCTAGTTGACTGAACCACCAGGCCTCGGGCTGGCCCTACAAATACTGTTTTAAATCCTAGCGTAGATAGTCTGGTCTATTAGAAAAACAAAGGACAAAGGATGAGAAGACCATAAGGCTGACTGCATGGCTCTGGACCTGCGGGATGTGATCAAGAAAGGTTAGTTATTACTATTATTATTTTGTGTAGCCACTAGTCATATAACTTCAGCTATGCCAGTTGAACTCTCTCTTGTATAAAAGCAGTTTGCCCATGGGGCCAGCAGGTGGCATGGTGGTTAAAGCCCTGGACTCCCAAACGGGTGACCAAGATTCGAGTCTCAGACCCAGTGGCTTGAAGAACACACCTGGCACATATGTGAACATGTCCAAAATCCCAAGAGGAGAATGGAGAAGAAGGGATTGTGTTATGGCCATGCCCCTGGGGGTTGGGTTCTCCCTCTCCCTCTCCCTGTCTCTGTCATGTGAGTGCATGTGCCCTACAGCAAAAACCTGAAAAGAAAAGTACCTTGCGCACATCTGGGGTTATAGCAATTATAAATGAAGATAATAAAGAGAATTACAACTGCTCTGAAAAATGAGAGCGGAAATGCAAGGCAAGACATTGACATCTCCCTTGTCTTCCAATACGCTCATGAATTCCACGATCTTAGCTGGTGCTTGTAACTGGAACGCAAAACGGTCTTCTGATCACACTGAAGCAGGTAGAGTGCAGGTGGGGAAACCCAGCATGGGGGTGGGGGGTGGAGGTGGGCTGGGGGAATAATTATCTCGCTACTGCTGACTACGCGGGGATGCTGGCTTTTCTCAGGCTGGGGTTCCTCATGCCAGCGTGGTTTCTGCCAGTATAGCCCACGGCCGAGAGGCTCTACCTGGGACCTCTAGCTCTGGTGACAGTGGAGGAAGCAGTTCTGCGCCAGCCCCAGGAAGGGGTCAACCAGAGGTTACCTGTAGGTTGTATCGACGCTCAGGTTGGCTGCAGCCAACTCCGATGGGGAAATCCACGCGGGCAACGTGTTCCCGGCGACCCACTTTGTCCACTCAAACAAGCCAGGCTCCACGCGGATCTTCAAATGGTTTTCTTGTTGTAAACCTTTAGAGGTAAAATAAAATGAAGCTAAAGGCACAGCGTCTCAGTGAAGAAGTCAATTCTAGGCCAAACTGCTATGAAAAGGCAGCACATCAGCTATTCTCTTTCCTATAGGATGCTGGAAAAGCTAATGGAAGGCAGAAGCAGGAGGATTTGGACATGGGTTTTAATTTTTGGACGTTACAAATACGTGAGTTTAATACTCTGGCCACACCCCCAGGGTGTATGCCAGCTTTATGGAGTATCTGATTTAAAAGGAAAAAGTCACTATCCATATAATTTATCAGGTCTGTCACTATCATAATTCTTCCTACTAAATTCCTTTTTTTTTTTTTGGAGAGTTTTTTGCTATAGGGCACGTGTGCGCGCCAGAAATACAGAGAGAGAGAGAGAGAGAGAGAGAGAAAGTGAGAAATCATCCCCTAGGGGGGATGGCCACGCTGCAATCCCTTCTTTTCCATTCTCCTCTCGGGATCTTGGGCACAC